CGTGGTACAATTTGTGACCGGCAGCGATCAACTACAAATATTCGCTGTCAATACAATCAGTCAGTCGTCCACGGCTTTAGGCCGCTACAGGTCTCGTGGCGCTTACACTATATTATATCACTATCTTGTTATCCTGTCCTATGTTGGTGACCCCTATCGGTCAAGACACTTCTAGCATTTTATCATACCCTAACCCACTGCTCGAGGTCCATCCCGCTCGTTTGGAGCCATCCCGCCCGTCCCAGCAATCAAAACACCAGAAAAAAGATCACAAAGGGCAAAAAGCTGGACGAACAGGGAATCGAACCCTGGACCACTCACATGCTAAGCGAGTATTATACCACTAACCCATTCGCCCAAGGGTTGATTTCGCCCGGACTTGAACCGGAGACCTTCAGTGGAACACTGNTTCGCCCAGTGGGATGATTTCGCCCGGACTTGAACCGGAGACCTTCAGTGAACCAGGCGAGATTCGAACCTCGGACTGTTAGACTGACGTGATAACCAACTACACCACGAAACCATGTTATTTGATGACTCATCTCGAGCGGAAGGAATATGTAAGGTCTGGTGTGTGTGTGTGTGTGTGTGTGTGTGTGTGTGTGTGTGTGTGTGTGTGTGTGTGTGTGTGTGTGTGTGTGTGTGTGTGTGTGGGGTGGCGGGTGAGGGCATCGTGAAGCGCTGGTTGTGGGGCCGGAGTGGGGACGTGGAGTGCATGCTGCATGGCGTTTACTTTGGTCCAAGGCGGTCATTCCCTCGCTCCCGCTCACGAGAAAACTTGGGCCGGCGTAATTGCGTGAAATACGCAAGTCTGTTCCGACGGGTGAAAAAATTCAATCAAAACCGTAGTGGCGTTGTCGAAGTTGAAAGTGCCATGTATTCTTCTCTTCCAATCTGATGGCGCCAAAGTCCCGGAGTGGAGCCATTCGGGGCCGTGAAGGCCGTCCGGTCGCTGCCCGGGGTAGCTTCGGGGAAATATGCCTGGTCTCCTGCAGCGACCCTTCCGAATGCTGCGTTTTTGGCATTCAATTCGTGGAGTGCCACCACGTTTGTCAGTCCACTAAATCCCGTGGTTGATAGATAATGCGGGCGCCCGGCCTTCTCGCCGGCCGCGGCACTGCAGCAGGAGTGTAACCTACCTCAACGGATCAGTTCTCCGCACATCAATTACCTCGTCTGCGTGATTCGAACCAACAATATCTCCGTCCACTTCTTCGACATGGGTGGCTCCAACTGCATGTAAACCAGCCTACCTTCCAAACCGAGGTCCAATGTCCGACCACTGTCATCAATTATTAACGCAGCAGTCAGAAAGATGTGTAGTCTTGCGGGCGGAAGCGTATGATATATGACGACATATAATTCATGCAAGTGTATCTCGGCATCTTGCGACACAAAGAGAAGAGACAAAAATGGCTCCGGGCTCTTTCGAATCACCCGCTATGCGACATAACGGGAGAGAAGAAGTCTAACGGGCGCCGGCAGCCATCCGATCTTTCGCTCAATCTAATTGCATCTGCCGTGACCCCGAAACCCGCGACTGGTGAGGGGCGAGCGCGGGGATGTGTAGTGGCGGTTCGGCCGGTCGCGTGGTGACGTCTGCGGGGTCGAGGTTTGCCGGAGAGGCCTGGAGTAAAATGGAGACAACACTTGGGACGGAACAGTCCCCCGGCTTGTCGTGGAAGCAAACAAGTACCGTTGCATCGACGGATCATGGCCGGCATGCTCTCCCCGGCAATTCGCCCTCCATTGCGGGGTCGAGTTGCTGTCCCTCATGTTGTCTTCTCTTTGAAGACTTAACTTTGTGACAAGTTCGCCTCATCATGCGTGTTGGTTTGAATTTACACTAACTAGATACTCAGCCAGACGCCTCCCGCTGGTTAAGATGAGTCGTCCATTTAAGAAGGTATGCCCACACGATCCTCGGCTTCAGTAACTCTCTAAAGCTATTCAGGTCGTGATCGTTGGAGCCGGGCCTTCTGGCCTACTCCTAGCACTGCTACTTTCGAAGAAGGGCATCCCCGTTCAGATTCTCGAAGCTCAGGATCATCTCGACCAGCAACCACGAGCCGCCCACTACGGCCCAGCCGCCATCCCAGACCTGAAGCGCGCAGGCATCTTGGACGAGGTCCGACGTCGGGGGCCGACGGTGAGCACGTTCGTGTGGCGGCGTCTGGAGGACCACAGCGTCATCGCCGGCTTCGATGCGGGCGTTCTTTCTGACATCAACGGCGACGACCTACGCACAGCTTGTCTCGTTCTGCAGGATCTCGACCAGTTGATGCTGGACGAGTTTCTGGGGAAACACGACGGAACCATCAGCTGGGAGCATCGTGTGGTCGGCTTGGGCCAAGATGACGAACGAGCTTGGGTGGATGTTGAAACGCCACAGGGAAAGAAGAAAATCGAAGCAGACTACATCGTCGGTTGCGACGGGGCCAACAGTGCGGTTCGAAAGGGGCTGTTTGGGGAGGAATATCCCGGCTGGACGTGGGATGCCCAGATCATAGCGACGAACACGTACTACCCCTTCGAGAAGAAGTTCGGCTGGGACGATGCCAACTTCATCATTCACCCCGAGCACTTCTTCATGGCGGCGAAGATCACGAACGACGGGATGTACCGTGTGACGTACGGCGAAGAGACCAACCTCTCCCACGAAGAGCTCAGAGCACGCCAGGAGAAAAAGTTCAAGATCATGCTGCCCGGACGGCCTGACCCGGGAGAGTACGAGGTCGTCAACTTCGCCCCTTACCGCATGCACCAGCGGTGCGCGCCGAAGTTCCGGGCGGGCAGGTTCATGCTGGCTGCTGACGCTGCGCATCTGTGCAACCCCTGGGGCGGGCTCGGGATCACCGGCGGATTTGTGGATGTGGGCGGGTTGTACGACTGTCTTGCGGGCATCTGGGATGGGGTGGCGGACGAAAGCATTCTGGATCTGTACAGCGAGAAGAGAATTGAGAAGTGGAAGACGATCATTGATCCGATTTCGCAGGAGAACTTCAGAAGGGTGTCGGACAAGGACCCCGGTACCAGGGTAGAGAGAGATGGATTCATGCAAATGTGTCAGCGAGCTGCGAAAGATAAGAACCATATGCGGGAGTTGATGCTGGGGAGCTTGTCTGTGAGGTATGATTTCACGCAGCATTATAGTAAGGTAGATGGCTAAGGGGCGAATTGTGCTTGATCGAGTTGAATTCGGTCTAGAGTAGCGCCTGGACTGGTGAGGGCCAATTCAATCCACCCATGACATCTTATTGATTTTGAGCCATGAGATCACCAACAAGATTCCCTAACAAGGAATCCTTTGCCATCCACATCGCCGGATGGGTGTCTGCTGGACCTTTGCATGGTTTCCATCTCGAAAAAATGCGGAAGAGCTTAAATGAAAGAGCAGGATGTGAACACTTCGCTCAGTGCCATTTGTGAGTGGAAAGGCTCACCCAGGCCCGATAATCGAAAGTATGCAGTGACTTGCTCACTTGAGATGGTTATGAAGAAGGGTATTTGGAGCATTGGCTAGGTGCAAATCAGTCCAAAGCTTGGGCTTAAGACAGCTTGAACCAAAGATCTACGAGTATGAGTGACCAGAAATCCGCAAAGCGCTGGGTCATTAACACTCAACTGTTTGGGCAACTGCTCTTCAGTACAGGAGAAAATGGTATAAAAATGAGCCTGAAGTGAGTTGAATGAGAGAAATAAGTACACTTTGACTCGGCAGCCTTCGAACGGTATTTCTCATAAACTTCAGAGAATGGATGAGAGAGTTGTGTTAACGTGTGGCAACACAACCGTATTGTAGCCGCGGGTTTTCTGTCAACGGCCATGCCGCGGCTGCCGAAACTTGCATTTCTTTGTCCTGGCATGGGAACAGAGAACCCGGGGCTTCCAGACTCATGCTCTACCTCATGATTCGACAAGATCACCCATGGTGTTGGCCTGGAACCGCCACTGGTTTGATACGCTTTTCTGCACTCCTGCGGCGCATGCGTGGTATTGTTGCAGCGCAGCAGGTTCCGTCTTGATTCACAACTTTTGTGAAGCTTAGAGAACTAATATGTGGCAGTTACGCAGCGATTGAAGTCCCATCTTTTCCCGAGCAGCTGAAGTCAATGAGTTATGAATGTTGAAGGACGGAAGATTATGAATTGTGAAGTGGTTCTGACGGTCTAAATTAAGGTGTAGTGGAGCGTTGGATAGACCCGCTGATTATCCACATCCCACAAGATGATCCAATGAGGGCTCTGTGCCGGGCGGCTAATCCTAACGGCCCCAGCATCGTCTGTTGACGAAGCTCTCCCATTGAGTCAACTTCCTCTCATTCACATCTGCCCCCAATTTGTCACACTGCAATGCGACGTCCATTGAGCCAAGACTGGAAGCTGAATTGAAGATCGCATGTTCGTGTCTGAGATTGACGACTGAATTGCTGAAGAAGATCGTGGCGATGCATTCTGCAGACGGCGCAGTTGTTGTTGGTCCGGTCCCCACCCGGGCCGCCCCCTCGATCATCGTCTGCGGGCGCTTAGCCACCACCTCTCATTCCTCAACGCCCCTACCAGCGGCCCCACGTCAATGCTGGACCAATGCAGGAACCCTAGATCAAGTAACCTTATGTTGGCGCGAGGTGTTATCCGGCTACGGAAGTGGCATAGTCGAGAGGAGAAATCATGCGAACTGGCAAGTAGCCGCGCTGAACAATGCTGTTGGAGCCGGGGTCAACCTCCTGGTTCGTTTCGACGTCCCAAAATCTCGGATTCATTCATGTCTCCTTAAGTCGCCCGTTCTCCCAGACGAGTAGGTCTGGCCAGCTCGGTCTTCTCCCCTTTCCTCGTCTTCTTGTTGTCCCATTTCCTATGTCGGTTGTGGCTGGCTACCACGAGGTCTTGTTCTAGTTGAACTACGGGCTAGTCTTCTTCTTTTTCTTCACTGGAAGTGTTGGACGAATTTTCTTTCATCGTTCACGGCGTCACCTACTTGCGCTCTGCGCCGTCGAGCCAATGGGACAGAAAGCACCCGAAGTTAGGGAAACTAGGGTCCTCTCACACAATGTTTCCCCCGAGAAGCGAAGCCGGAAGGACTCAATACCATGGCTAAGAAAGCATAAGGACACTCAGTGCAGTCTCGAAACAGGTAATCTCATCACACCAACACAGATGTCATGGTTCACCGCAGCTGATCATTCCGACAGTCCATAAACACGGCTGGAAGCCCATGACAATAGGTGCACCAGTCCTGTTCTCGTTCGCATTTGTTTCCTTCATTCTCGCTGTCATCATCGAGGTCCTCGCTCAACAAAGCCAAAAGTTTGGCGGCCTCGCACTTTCGCCATCGACCAACGAGATACCGACGTTTGCCAAATTCTGCTACCTGTTCCTTCCTACGATTGTCGCCGTCATATACAGTCTTCTATGGAGTTGGATCGACTTGGATGTAAAGCGCCTGCAGCCATGGCTGGAAATGTCAAGACCAGAAGGCGCAACAGCGGAACACTCAATCTTTCTTGATTATCCATATGAGTTCGTCGCGTTCGTGCCCTTCAAGGCGGCTCGAAGGCGGTAAGAACATTGTCTCAGCCCTGTCCTAGGCTTCGTGGGGAACTGTGCTGATCAAATACAGACACTGGGCGACGTTTTACGCTGCAACTGTCATGGTTATCATCTTCTGGCTGCTCACCCCTCTTCAGAGTGCCATATTGGGCACCGGACCAGTGAGGGCCCAGAGGGCAGCTCAAGTCTTCTCCTACGTTGCCCCTCGCGCGGCCCCGGACCAGGCGTTTATCTTGGATCAGTCAATTCTCAATGAAGGTTACGCTCAAACTTGGCTGGACCAACCGCTGCCCCCATACACCACTGATGACTACACACTGCTACCATTCAAGGCCGAAAGTAGAGATACACCGGTGTCATCCACCAATTGGACAGGATCTACGACCAAGTACTGGACAGAACTTGAATGTTGGCCCGCAGAAGCCAGCAGGAATGGACCACCATCGAAGGAAACGTACGACTTCCTCAATGGACGCGGGTGCAACGCCAGCGAGATCGATGTATACGGCAATCACGACAACAGCCAACCCTACAAGATGCTCTACCTCGGGTACTACAGTAGTCCCTGGTCCGACTATTGGCTAGGCATGACGTGCTCGAAGGAATCTGCGGGCGGCCAGTTCTTGGCCACTTGGGGCCATTCACTCAACTATCCCGATTACAAGATCAACCTCACATCTCTCTTTTGCGAAACCAACTACTACAAGCAGGCTGTCAACGCCACAGTCAGCTCGGTCGATTATGTCCCACTGGAAGATTCGGTTGTGCCGCTGGGCCCCCGGGAAAGAATTGAAGAGAAGGAGTTTAACATTACGGCCTTCGAGCGTTTGATCAGCTCTGGTCTTTCTGTCAGCGATGTTACTCCTGCGCTCCAAGAGAAGGTCGTGAGAGACTATCCTTTTGAGCATCTATTGGAGCAGCATCAACAGGTGGCGGATCTCGGCGTCATGTGGCCCATGACGCCAATGACCGGCTTTGCCATAGGATCCCACAAAAACGTTACCAGCCTGGAGTATTTCAGGGATGAGGCTGTGTTGGGCGAAGCTTTCAACTCGACGCACAAGATGCTCTTCAATCTTGCACTGCGCCGTGTTCTTGATAACGTCACAGTAGCAGGACTGTCCGAAGGCAACGTGGACTTTGTCTTGCACGGCATCATCGTGAGCCGCCTCTTTTCCGCAATCGTCGAAAGTTTCCTAGGTCTGGTCGGATTTTTCACGGTTCTCCTTTGGTGGCATGGACACAGGGCAACCAGCAGGTTGACTATGGATCCTGCATCCCTGGGGTCTCTTATCAGCCTATGCAAAAACAGCCCGATGCTGCTCGACAGGTTCGCGGGAAAGGGTGCTCTGTCTGAAGAAGCCCTGAAGCAAGTATTTACGGACCAAAGATTCAAGCTTTTCTGTGGATGTCAGAGTCAATCACGAGAGATGGTCATTAAGGTGGTCGACGTACGAGACGAATCCAACCAAGAGCAGCGAATCAGTTTGTCCCAGCCAGAGCCACTCTTCCCCGTTGGACACTATTCACCCGTCAAGCCCTGGGCTCTGCGTAGGGAAGTTGGAGTTGCTGTTATTGTGGTTATGATGGGAGGTGTTGCTGCGCTGATATATCTGAAGCTGCTGGAGCAGCAGAACAAAGGTAGCCAGATTCAGATCGCAATAAGGAGGCAAACTTACAATTCACAGGTATCATCCGACCAAACGCGAGCTTTGAAGTTCTCCAACTTCTCGAGAATTACGTCCCGACTATCATTGCAACATTATTGGAGCCATTCTGGGTTCTCGTCAATAGACTTCTCTGTCTCCTGCAACCATTCCGGGATCTCTGGTCCGGTAAACGACCAGCCAAAGGATCGATCAGCGCCCGATACACCTCGCTTCCGCCACAATTCGTCTTTTGGAGGGCCTCTCGTTCTGGCCACTTCATCCTCACAGCCATGTGCGGTCTCGCGCTCCTTTCTAACCTGCTAGCTGTCGGACTTGGTGGTCTGTTCAACGAAGAACCGATCGCGATCGAGCATCCTCATGAATTCCAACAGTCGATCATGCCCAGGCTCAATAACGAATCGGTTTACAACTTTAGCAATCCCATCGCACCGTACGAGATACCGTTTCTGATTACTATGAATAACGTAACCCAGAACACTCCCTTGACCCGTTGGGTTAGCCATGAGTATTTCTTTCAGCCATTCAAAGTCATTCCGAATGACACTGCGCCGGCGAACACCTACTCCGCGCGGACCACGGGTTTCGGAGTCAACCCATCCTGCTCCGACATGGGTACATTCAAGACGCGAGGGAATACACCAGAAGTCAACTACACGATAATGAGGAATGGGGAAGCTGTGCAGGGATGTCCAAGCAACTTCACGACGAAAGTTCTCGACTTGAACACGACGATATATAAGGACCTTACTGGACGGGCCTCGGCAGAGTACGTTTCAGTTATGAACAAGGACATCACTGATCTTACGATCTGCCAAGTCCCGGTCATGTTCGGCTGGTCAAGGAGTGCCCAGGCCGCAAATAAGACTGGGGAGATGGAAACTTGGGCCGTCGTTTGTGATCCGGTGTTTACAACGGCCATGTTTGACGTGACGGTGGATTCAGATGGATACGTCATCAGCTCGTCCCAAGTCTCCGAATCGTCGCCGACACTCGACTACCCGCTCTCGACGAACCACACCGACATGATGATCACCATCATCAACAGCTTGTTCACAACCAACAAGAACAAGTGGCACAACGATACCTTTGCGCGAGACTGGATCAACTACCTCCTCAAAATCCAGCCAGGCCACGCCGACCTGCTCGACCCGAAGTCCACGCCAGACATCCCCTCCCTGATCCCCGACCTCGAAGCCTTGTATCGCCAGATCTACGTCCTCGCTCTCGGAAATACGCAGCAGAACCTCTGGGAAACGTACCCTGAGCCGGTAACTATTACTGGCATCCGACACGTCACCGAGACGCGCATATTCATGAACACCACCGCTCTCGCCATCAGTCTCACAGTATTGGGTATCAACATCGCTGTCGCTGTCGCTCTCTACGGCCTCGCTATAAAGCATTTCCTACCACGAATGCCGACGACCATCGGGTCGATCCTAGCTTATCTCGCGCCCAGTAGGGCTGTGCGCGAGTACGACGGCCCCGGGAGCCTTCAGAGTGCGACTTTCAGCTTCGGTCGGTATGTCGCGGAGGATGGACGCGCACACGTGGGCATTGAGCTCGACCCGTTCGTTGTGCCTGTGAAACTATCAGCGCTGCGGAAGGGCGACACGGAACCAAGGAATGGGCTGCTGAGACGGGTTCTGGGCCGACGGAAAGTGGAACGGGGAGATGAGACGTGGTTATGATTTATGAGCATATGAGCTGAGCCAGATATCGGACGATGAAAATCTAGGCCATTTCTGTTATTTGTGGTTCAACCTGGGGAGAATTTCGCTGAGGTGATTTCACATCCCCATCGTGCATATCGCGAGACCGAAATCGACGTCGCGAACGAGTTGGAAACGCCTTGCGGGGATGCAGTCTGCTTTGTACCTAAGACGTGAGTCAAGTGTTTGCAGGCAGACCGGTTTCCAAACAAAACAGCACAAATTACAGTTTCCTACTTTACTTGCAACCCGATAATGTTTCTCTATGCGTGCCAAAATGCGTTTCCGCTGTATGGCGCAGATCGCGTCCATGCGCACTTTCTCGTCTGATATATCCTGTGTCAGCCTTTCAGCTCGACAGGGAAGTCTTTCATTCAACTTCACACCCTCGTAGCGGTGTTGGTGTTGCGTTTAGTCTGTCGCGTTCAACGTTCGCTGCGTATAAGGTTTAGGTTATGTCACGTTCCCTGTCTACTCCAAACCCCACGAGGTCCTTGACTTCTTCTCAAGGGTATCCTCGCCCACACTGTCAGAGGGAGAATATCAGATCGTCAAGCTCTGGGCTGTCAATGGTCGACGATGTGCGCTTTGACGTGAAGTAGAGCTATGAGCTATGTTTTGGTGTGTGTGGGTTGATGATTGAGACCACCCACCATTTGCAACTATGAGAGCATTCACATGAAGAGGCAACATGGAAGACGAGTATGAGCAAGTATGATGCTATTGATGATATCACGCTATTTTTCCATGATGGCTAATGCAAACATCTAGCCCTTTGTAATCATACCAAAGAAAAGAAAAGGAAATGTGTACAAGGTATATACAGAAAGTTGTAAATGTTCAGAAGAAAAGACAAACGCCGCAAATCTTTGTGCTGCCGTAACCTGTATGATCATGAAGATAGGTATCCAATGTGCCCCAAGGTATCATATATCCCGTAAATGCTAGACCGTTCATAAAGGAGTGTTCGCCATCGACCAGCTTAGGCGTGAGAACGGAAGCGGAGGGCACGCTTGCGACCGTTTCGGGTCACAACCATGTTGATAGAAGAGCCCATGCCGGCAGTGCAGGAGGTGCCGGAGGCGAGCTGTTGGACAGCAGACCAGGCACCGCTGGCGCAGCGCTGGTAAGAAGTGCCGCCAATGCAGTTCCAGGCTCCCTCGTCAGTGCAAGCAGCACCGACAGTCTGCGCGCCAGCACCGGTCTCAGTACCGTTGCCAGAGCCAGAGCCAGAGCCAGAGCCGGTGCCAGAAGAAGGAGCGGCGCTGGGCGCAGCGGTGGCAGCGGGAGCCTTGGAAACAGAGGCGGTGGCAGAAGCAGTGGGGGTAGAGCCGGAGCCGTTGGGGACGGTGATGAAGACGCCGCCGGGAATGGAAGCCGAGGGCTTGGAGGAAGCGGCAGGCTTGGAAGAAGCAGCGGGCTGAGAGACGGCGGGAGCAGAGGTAGGAGCAGTGGTGGGCTGAGCACCACCTCCGTTGCCGGCTCCAGCAGTGCTAGTGGGAGCGGGAGAGCCAGTGCTGCCACCGCCAGAGCCACCGCCGGAGGACTCCTGGCAAGTGCCAGAGGGGGCCGAGAGGACAGAAGCTTCACCGAACTTGTCGACGGAGGTGCCGGGGTTGGGGAACTGGACGTCCTTGCTGTCAACAGTGGTGCAGCCGTTGCCGATGTTCGCAACGAACATGTCGGGAAGAGCCTGGTAAGCGCTCTGAGAGCCGGCAGAACCAGTGATGGTGACAGGGCCGCAGTTCATGTACATCTCGCGGTTGCCGATCTTGTTGAACCAAGTCCAGGCGATGGTACCGTTTCCAGCAGGCATGTCGTCGGGGATGGTGAAGTCGTAAGTGTCCTGGTTCTGCTGGTTGGCGTTATCACCAAGGTTGCCAGCAGCGTTCTTGGCAGGGCAGCCTCCCTCAATAGACTTGATAACCTTCCAGACGGAGTTCTTGTCGGGCTTAGCGTCATAGGTGATGGAGACTTGGCAAGAACCACCACCGTGAACGGCAGAGCCAATGAAGGCAAGCTTGCCGCCGGCACCCTGAGCATAGACGTTGGAGGCACCCTCGGCATCGTAAACGGTAGAGCGTTGCTTGCAAGGGAAGTTGCTGCCGTCAGCCAACAACGGGCTGTTGTCGAGGTCGGCGGCTCCGTAAGGCACGGGAGAGCTCATCTTCATGTGGGCGCTGGCAAGGGTGGCCAGGCCGAAAGCGACGATAGCTTGAGCGTACATGGTGAGTGTTGTTGTTGAGTGATGAGAATCTAAACGTGCCAGACGATAGGGTCTCAGTGTGGGTTGTCGTTGTGACTGTAAGTTGTTTGGTGGACGATCAAAGTCGTTGGTTTTCTTGACACTTTATAAGACAAGTTAGCTTCGACTTGAACTCGACTCATCGATCCAGCATGTTCTCGATGACAGCGCATTTGTTCCTCAGCAGGCCCGACTCGAAGTGACTGGTCACAACCGTAACAAGCTCAGTGTGACGATGCTTCCGAACAATGACATTGTGAGTCGCACAGTGACGGGCCGCTTTGTCGAACAAAGGCAGAGAAGCAAGCCAAGTGGCCTAGGTCCCGTGCCGTCCCTTTGATGCTGTGATGCTGCAGAATTCCGTATACTTACAGTGTCTTCTCGCTTTGTCTGCTGGGAGCTTGGACGTTGCGGAGTGTGTGAAAAGTTTGGAGTGAAAGTTGAGAATCGGAAAGGTCGATGGGTCTCGAAGTTTCGTATCGTTGTCTTTGGGTTCCGTGAAGGATGGTAATGCACCAGGCGAGTTGGGTTGGTTGATAGAAAGTTGAAAAGTAAGGACTAGCCTTGTTGAATGATAGAAGAGAGAAGGTAAGATGTCGAAACGACAAGCCTTTCCAAAGCCCACAGAAGGAATGCGAGAAGATGTGTTTGTCCAAGAGGATGGGGAACAAAAAAAGAGTGTTTCGAGGTAGGACGAGGCCCGGGTCTTATAATACAAGATGGGCAAGCTGAAAAGATACGATGGGGATGTAGAAAGTAGTGAGTGAGCAGGCCCACGGGCAGAGTATGCCGAGCTTAGAGAAGGACTAGAGATGAAAGTGGAAACGAGAGGCAAAAAGCAACTTAGCACGGCTGCAAAGAACGGCGGTTATCCCAGAACGATTGGAGAAGGATAGACTGAAGGTCGGACCGGAGGATGGAGAGCTGGACTAGATCGGTCCACTTGGGACGGGAGAGACATGGCGTTCTTTTAGACAGGCGTTGAGCAGGTCGACCAGTCAAGCCCAGTCGTGGAGCGCAGTCCAAGGGGATTCGAGGCATGGTGGATCGCCCGAGGGGGACAGGGGCCAGGCGTTGAAGAAGGAGAGGCATGGGCTTGAGGCTGTGATAGGCGGGCGAGGAGCCCCTCGGCCTGTTTCGACATGGCACAAAAGACCGGACTAAACATTCTTGTGAGCAGGCAGGGGTGGGTAAGGATGATCGGGGCATCTGGTAGTTGTGTGCGTGTGTGGTTGTGGGTGTTCGAGGATGAGGTACATACGGCAGGCAGTAGTAAGAACAGGCTCCACGGCACGTAAGGTACGGCTTAAGGTGTACGGTAAAGGCTGCTAGGACCATGCCATGTTCCTGGATGGGACTTTGGAGGGACGGGGACCTTGCAGCAAGGCGCATCGTGCGTGTTTTTCTCGCGGTGGATGCCCCTGACTAGGCATGTTAGGCTCGTTTAAGGAGGAGCCAAGGACAGCCAAAGGCGGGGGAGAGGGAGGGAGCATCTGTGGACCGACGATGAAGTGGTTTTGATGGTATAGGGAGGGATTGGAGAGGAGTTTTTCGAGCTGTCGTTGACGGGGCGGATGAATGGCTGGGAGGATGTGGGAAGAGAGACAAGTGACACCGAGAAGAAGCACTAAGGACTAGTCGCTACCAGGGAGGAGACGAGGTCCGGGACAAGACGACAGGGGGGCAGGGAACCAGGGAGCAGGAAGCAGCCACCAAGGGTGCGGTGTGGGAGCCTGGGTGCGAGAGTCGGTACGTACTCCTACCACTCCCGCTCGAGGACTGGCTGCCATTCGCTGCTCGGGCCACGCTAACGGAGGCACCAAAAAAGCACGTTCCTTGCCCCGCTAACGCTACACAGTACGTACCTCGAAGCTGTATCCGTAGGGAACACTAGCCACGCACTTGCAGCCGGTACGTACCTCGTCGTGCAGCGTCAGATCAGGAAAGGGGCACGGGAAGATGGAGGATGTGTGCAACCATGTGTTTCCTTCCAGAGCACTGCTACACTCTGCCTTTGGCCCTGACTAGAGGGAATGGCGGCAGGAAGCGCGTGAGCTGCAGCTTTCAAGACAGGAGAAGCACCAAAATGGCGGAGGCTACTGCAAGGCACCATCTGCGAAGTGAGCACAGCATGCAGCAGTGAGTCGCAACACCTGAGATAGAAACAAACGGTCAGCCATTGCACCCATCCATCCACCATCCACCAGTTCATACGTCCAAATAGCCGCCAAGAGTGAGATCAGCAGCGACAGCGATGCCCCCCGAATCGTTCTGGTTGCCTGCTAAATCCAGACAAGGCTCAGTCATTTCATCCTTACTTTTACAATGTGCAAAGTACCGCATAGTATTTCCCCATGTTGGTGTGCGCAATACGCATACCACCCTATCTGACCGTCCGAGTCTAGAATAGAAGAGGCGACATACAAGCGCACCGGTACCCACGGGTATTACGCGAAGTTGCCTCGCCTAGCTAGATGGAGATTTACTTTTTTTCTGGCAGACAGAAGACAGATGTGATGCTGACTGACAGATCAAGATCACCCGTACGTATGCACTGACTGGATCCAAAGTCAGAACACGCCATGCGAGGTCAGTAGAGCGCGAAAGGCGAAAGCCTCATCGATATTTGCGGCCCAGCCCATTCCAGACCAACTCCTATTTTGGCAACAGGCGGCCTCCAATCAGGGCAGATCGAACCTTGGATTTGGAGACTGGAGGTGGCCAGTTATCGCGG